TATATATATACGTGCGTGTGCGTGTGTGCGTGCGTGCGTGCGTGTGTATGAGTGTGTAAGTGAGTGAGTGAAATAATCACACCATACGCTACGCAGGTGCTGGAATAGTTAACGACCAGAGGACTCACGCACAGGCCGAACAGAACGCAGATGTCTATATTATAGAACACCACGAGCCCTAATCACAGCCTCGAGGTCTGTATAATAGTTATGTCTCATAATCACTCCAGAAAACCCGAGGAAAGCCTAAACTATTACTGGTATATGCAGCAACTTACGCCATTCTCATCTATTAATGGGATGACGATCTCAGACTTCGAAGCGGAATCGCAGGCAATATGGCCTGGGAACGCATCGACATCCTTGACAAGCCAATAGGGTGTAGGGTGAAGAATGACAACAATTAGGAATAAAAAGTGAGTGCGATTTTGGAGCTAATAATTGGTTCTTAGCATAAAATTTGGCCCCTATGTACTCACAGACATCAAAATAAAGCACCAATTGCTCATGCGCCGTTGGCTGGGCCAGTTCTGTCCTACGCGCCAACAAGGAAATAATCGTATCAAACGCTAGCTGATGCTCTTCATCCCAGCGAAAGGCCGCATCCTTCTTCAACAGTTTCGCTATCGGCGCCAGCACGTTAGTGAATCCGTCGACATACTGTTTCCAATATGCGACTGTATGATACCAGGATGTCACCAACTCCATACTCGTTGGGTGAGGCAATGACACCAGTGCCTCCAATCGCACATCTGTAATGGATACCCCATTGAAATCAACCCTGCGGCCCAGTATCGTTACTGGCCTCCTGAAGTACGCTATCTGACATTTTCTCATCCCTAATTGAATCCCATACTACCGACACCGATTAAGCACCGTAGTCAGATCATCCCAATGCTCAGCTCAGACTCTGTGCCCGACGCGATAACAATATCATCTATGTACCATATCACTATATCACATGGTGTAATGAATCAAAAACCTCCGCCAGGGCCTCCTGGAAGCGCCAAGAAGCCTCGCGGAGCCCAAATGGCAACCCTGCATACGAGAACCTTCCCCACGGCGTCGTAAACGTCAACATACGCGATACCTCCTCATCAAGCTTGAGTTGACTAAAGCCGTTGCCGCAGTCCAGCACGGACACCCACGGCTTGCCCACGACAAACTCATACATCTCCGCTTCAGTCGGAATCAGAAACGACTTTGAGTCAAGTGCTTCCTTCCAGCGGCTAAAATTGGTACAAAATCGCCACTCATCCAGCCCCTCAGGCAGTGGCCTCGGCTTCTGCCCTGGCTTCTTCCAGGCCAACTTCACATTAGCCTGCCACCTGTTGGAAGGATCTTCACACCGCCCAAATATACCCCTGTCCAGCAACTGCAATACCTTCGCATGCGTGGCCAACATTTCTGAGGAATCCAAATTCGTATATGGCTTGTGACCACAGCGCCTGGGCTGCGCACCCTCCTTCATGTAAAGCTTGAGCAGGTCAAGCTTAGCAAACTTATGGTGGTTCGGATCATATGCGCACTAGTGAAACAGAGCGGTAGCCTCTTGGACTTTCTCTACAGTCTTCCCCGCTTCACAAAAGTTCCTAAACCCTTTGACCCCAAAGCTTTCGCAGTCATCATCAGACTCATAACCTGAGTCATACCCAGATAGATACCCGTCTTCCCTGTCCGGCACCACATCAATGTTGTGCAGTATGTCCGGTCTACCAGGTAGGTACATTCCACTCAATATAGCTTCATCTTCGCCTTCGGGCGCTAAGGGATGCTGCTCCGCTACCTGCATTCTGGCCTCGTAGCCCAGTTCATCATCAGTCTGATGGCGGGCCTTCCGCGGCCTCGGCGGTGGCGAGTGCTGCATATCTACCCGCATCACCCTGCGGCTGTACGAACGCCGTACCTCAAGCTGGAACGCCCTCTTCGTGTGAGAAGGGAATCTCCGTAGGTAGCAACTTGTGCCGCAGACCAGGGCGGCTTGGGATTGCAGACCCGCACCACGTCAGGGGCGGCTGCAATCCTGTCAAATCACGCCTTCCTATCAGCTGTTGCTTCTGCCTCTTCATACGCTGTTTCGACCCTCCCCTGGCCCATCGTTTAGACTTGCGCTGCGCATCTGGCGTTTGCGGAGCATCACTATGCCTGCAGTGGATGCCGCGAGCACACCGTTGACACGGATCCATATTGGGTATAATATGCAATTGTTCATCCATATCATATGTCGACGCCCACATGAGGCTGGCTTGCGTGTCAAAGCCCATCAGGAAATGCACGTCATATGGCAAACCAGCGGCCACCAACCATGTCTGCTCTCCGGTGCGTAAGTATCCGTCCACCGTGTCTATTTCAATATCCAGTTGTACCTGGTCAAGGTGTCTGATCATCCCCATACCTGGAATGCCATGTATTGGTGGCCCATCATACACAGTACATGCTATGTTCAGTTCTTTAACAGTAAATTCGGATATAAAGTTAAAGGCTGAACCTGCATTCATGTAAGTCAGAGTCTCATACTCATCCGCATACGATGCGACCACCGGCCCACGTCAGACACCTCGGGTCTTGGTGGCTTGCACTGCTTTCTTCTTCTCCGGGCAGTCTTTGGCTTGGTGGCCTTCTTTGTCACAGTTGAAGCATCCCGTGAAATACGTCAATCTCGATTTACCCCCTAAACGTGGCTCAGCTCTGTCATCACGTTTGTCTGACTTGCTCACCTCCAAATGGTCCTGATGCCGACCTCTCACTGGCGGACGAGAGCGACGAGAAGACTTGTCGTCCCTGTCCCAAATATCACGATCTCTACGATCCTCTCGGTCACGCCTCTCCCTGACCTCGCGATCATAACGCCTGACCTCTTCGCAACGTCGCTCATTCCAGAAGTCTTGCTGCTTGTGGTATTGACGCTTCCGCTCATACTCAGCTTGCGCCGCCGCCTTACGCTGCTTCTGCAACTGACTGTCAGATAGCTGATTAGGAGCTCTTTGATCAGCCTGGTCTGTAATCCGATCCGCCAACCTTTCCTGCACACGCTCCTTGTTGCTGCCACACTAGGCAAGGCAATAGTTTCCAACGAAAGCTTCCCTCCTGCCGTCTTCCGCATATTGCGGAACCAATCCAATATGCCCGTAAACCCATACGACTCCTTCATCACAGTCACCGTTGGCGCATGTAGCGTATGCTTAAACATCTCCACCATGAAGGCATTGATCTCATCCCACGCATACTGCAAGGCCTCGAACACCTCTTACCCATACCCAGGATGCATATAGACATGAGAAATACCACCTTCCGTGAAATAGGATCGTCCACAGACGACAATAATTTCATAACAGACATGCTCTCTCTGCGGCCAGCGAAACTCAAGATCTTGACGACCTGAGCTTCCTCCTCTGGGGCACACGGCATGAGTCCGACTCAAACATCCTAGCTCGGATCGCATCATCCGCTGCCTTGGCTTGCAACGCCTCCTGCTTCGCCTTTACAGCTGCAGCCACAGCTTTCTTCGCCAACTTAATGGCCTCCGCATTGTCATGCTCCCCAGGCTCAGGCAACACACCCAACGCCCCATTCATCGCGCCCGCCATGAACGACCCCAAGTCCTTTGCTTCCTGCGTCGAATGCTTGGATACTAACTTTCTCCACTTGAAGAATGCCCATATCAGGGTGAATCGCGGAAGCAACGAGACTAACTCCGAGAGTATCTCACTCGCAAATTGAGTGTCCTTTCGACAGTCCCTCACCAGAGCCCTCTTCATCGGCTCGGTTGTCTCATGCAAGAACCAATATAATGGCGACTTGTGCGCAATAATTCGCAATAACCTCCAAGCATATGACGTACACTCTGGGGGCAAGTCCCTTCCTGACTCATCCCACAGGCCAGAGTTGAAATGGACTTTCGTCAGCAGTGCATGCACCTTCTCTGCCTGATCTCCCTTTGGCCGATGTCCATTCCTTCGTCGCCGCCCGCAGATCTAAAACCTCTATTATAGGCACTAGTAGTTGACCTCTCAGCCCTCGATAGGGCTCAATGGTACCACCCGTAACGGGTACAGAATGAACTGACGGCGTCTCAAGCACTATTTAATACCAACCACACTGATTCAAGCGCTAAATCACGATGCCACAAACAAATTACAACTAAACAAACGTCGGTTGGGACTGATGATGACCGAACTACTGGCAAGGTAAGTCGCAGAAACACTATGAACTACCCTCGTAAATTGTCAGCAAGGTTGAGGTCATCTTCAGGCCAAAACAAAAGGATGATCTTCAGCTACTGTGTACGACTTTAGTATCAACACTATCAGGTCTCACATTGTTCTCAACATGTGTGTGAGTGTTGTCATCATTATTATTTAAGTGCACTCACCCTGCTGGTAAAGAGCACTCCTATAATAGTTCGGTACTTCTAGGGCCAGGCGCCTTACATAATAAAAAGATTGAACCATGTTGTTCTATATTCTTCAGCTATTGGAAAGTGTCTGACGTACTCGTTGGGATTTGAGTCAATATATTTGAATACAATCAATAACCATGGTCAGATCGTGAATGAACCAAGCACACCCGACAGGCTCTTCTGGGGATGTCTTATGCCCTCATCAACTTGTATACTAATTTATTTCTGTTATGTGTTTGTTTTATAAGAGACTAATTCATTGCACACCTTTGGTGTTGCTCGCCTGCATGAACACCTGAGCTACACTCTCAAAGCCCTTCACGTCCTCCTCATCCCAGCCGTTCAGGTTACCGTTGTCACTGTCTAGCACTCCAATAACCGCCTGAAATATATAAAAGGCACGTGTCATTAAAAGTGTGTGAATATCTGAATGTACATACGCAACGGTTCTGTAGAGGTCTGGAACTGAAGCTCGTATATATATATATATATATATGCAACATCTGCGTAGCGTGTGGTGTGTGATTAATATATATCTACATATATATCTATATCTATATATATATATATATATATATATATATATTAATCACACACCACACACTACGCAGATGTTGCAGTAGTTAACTACTAGATGCGTTATGCAATCACTATTGATATATATATATATATACATACATATACATATATATATAAATAAATATGTATTATACTATATATACATGTATATATATATACGTGCGTGTGCGTGTGTGCGTGCGTGTGCGTGTGAGTCAGTGAGTGAAATAATCACACCATACGCTACGCAGATGCTGGAATAGTTAATGACCAGAGGACTCACGCACAGGCCGAACAGAACGCAGATGTCTATATTATAGAACACCACGAGCCCTAATCACAGCCTCGAGGTCTGTATAATAGTTATGTCTCATAATCACTCCAGAAAACCCGAGGAAAGCCTAAACTATTACAGGTATATGCAGCAACTTACGCCATTCTCATCTATTAATGGGATGACGATCTCAGACTTCGAAGCGGAATCGCATGCAATATGGCCTGGGAACGCATCGACATCCTCGACAAGCTAATAGGGTGTAGGGTGAAGAATGACATCAAAGTTAGGAATAGAAAGTGAATGTGATTTTGGAGCTAACAATTTGTTCTTACTATAAAATTTAGCTTTTATTGTTGTAGGGCTGCGTGGATTGTTTACTGGCAGCCGATAAATAGTATCGAGCAGTCATACGTGTACAACAAAAACATATAGTCCACTCTACTAACAAACGGTACATGAACAAACTCATGAGAAAAACCGCACACATAGGCATGCGCATAGGCTTGTACTCTCACATAACATGGCATGTGCCACCAAATAAAAAGAAGCACCCTTTACAAAAAAGGAGAGGCTTAAGACTCGTAATATGCAGTACCGCGTGTTAGATGCCGCCCATTGCGATCTATTTGACAGACTGAAGAAAGATACATATGCAACCACAAAAGAACCACATCCGTGTATGCCCATGTATACTCATGTCTATAAAAGAATATTTATATACATAACCGAAGGTCATATGAAGTGAAACTGAAAGTTCTACATATTAATATAAGTTCAAGTACTAATTTGTATACATACTTAATTATACATAAACATACACATACATACA